GGGATAGAGAGATAGAAACATCAATGAGAGAGAAACATCGATCAGCTGCCTCCTGCACACCCCTTACTGGGGATGTGCCCGCAAACAAGGTCCATGCCCCCGACTGGAATTGAACCTGGGACCCTTCAGTCTGCAGACCGACGCTCTATCCACTGAGCCAAACCGGCTAGCGCAGATCTTAGATACTCTTAACTATAGTGTCTGCCTCTACATGATGTAAGGGTTAAGTAAGATGATATATGCAACAATAAACTGTAAAGTACTATATTATTATTATTATTATTATTATTATTATTATTACTACTACATCAGTGTTCTTACAATTAGTTTTCTCAGGATAAGGGATGAATCAGTAGCAGATTGACCTCAACTAGATTTGAGATTCATCTCAAGAAATAGAGACCAGCCTTTTCGGTCTCTTAGTCCAGGATTATCCTGCTTCCTAAACATGATAGAGGTTATTTACTTTTCAAGTAATGGTTTTCTTATATTGAAAATAAAAATATTGTTACCCTGGTTGGTCAGTTGGAGCGTCATTCTGTATACCAAAAGTGGCAGATTTGATTCCTGGTCAGGGCACATACCTTAAGTTGTGACTTTGATCCCCTTTTGGTGCATGTGTGGGAGGCGACTGATTGATGTTTCTCTCTCTCCCTTCCTCTCTCTAAATATTAATAAAAATATGTTTTAAATGAAATTATAATCAATCAAGAAAGAAAGAAAATTAAAGTATTGTCATCGACTGTATGTTTAAGTGCTCAAAGAGGAAGTAAGAGCCAGCGCTTAATACAGCATCTGAAATATAACAACCACAAAATGAACACTGTCCCCTCCTTCAATCAGGTCCCCCTCACTCAACTCCCAACAAAAACTGCAATCATAATTGTTCCTGTAAGGAAATTCTATTGCTCTGTTTCTCAAGTAAACATTGACTTTTACTGATACCGTTATAATTTAGCCCAGTTATTAATAACTGGAAAGGAGCAAAGAGAAGGTCAAAGGTTAGCGACTTGCCATTTGTACAGCTTTGCCAGGAAGCTGTGGTTTAACCCTCCCCAGGAAGCCACCGGTTTGTCCCCACTGGGGGAATGGACTGACAGGGGGAGAACAGACACATGCCCAGTGAGGTCTGGGTGAAATAGGGAAGGTACCTGTCTGTCAGTCATACCTGGGAACAGGTCACTGGCCAGAGTAGGCGTGGCCACTGCAAGAGCAGGAAGATGTGAGGTACTTAACCGCTTAAACAAAGGAGTTCACTCTCTTGTTGCTCTTGTCTCTCTTTTGCTCTTGGGACTCTTGTTGCAGGGGGCGCACCCTCGGCTCCCTTGCCTTCGCCCACAGGGCCCACAGCCATGTGGACCCCACACAAAACTCTATTTAATGACGTTTCGACAACATGCATCCTTCCTACCTCTTTGCTCAGCGCTAGCCACATGCTCAAACCTCCCAACCCACTCGAACTATTGCAATACTCTCAAGCCAGTTGCATGTTTCATACCCCAAGTCTCCGTGAACACTTCCCTCGCTTCCAGGAGTGCCCTCCCCATTAGGCACCTACTTCCCCTGGGCACCTTGTTTTGTTTGAGTGCTGTGAGTAGAGCTGACTATCCAGGGCCTTAGTCATGACTGAATTCATTCATTCGAAATATTTACTATAAACCCACTATGTTCTACGCTAGGCATTAGGGAAGAGAGTGGCGTGTAAAACACACCCAGTCTTCCCATTAGTAGCTCCATGAACGTGTCTATGTGCCAAGCTAAGCCATGACCTTCTAAGGGCAGAGCATGGCTCTTCCGTGGTTTATCAGGAATCCTCATTGCAATGCCCTGCACAAAGCAATACTCAGATGTTTGCTAAATAAATGAATGCCAAGGCTGTGACTCTCTATCACAGAAATCTCTAAAGAGAAACATTACAGGTCTTCTGACCCAATTGCCCACTTGAAATAGTGGAAGATTGCTCTCTATTATGTCACTTACACTTTATGATACTGTGCTGGCACAACCAAGGTATAATTAGCCTTCCCTTCACAGGTGCAGAAATGGCCTTCTATTTTGTGTGTGATCTTTCCATTAAGTGCTGCAGAGTCCTGATAAAGGGGCATCATTAGGGATCCATTTTAACTCAGATCCCTAATTGGGCCATGGTTCTGTCAAAGTTAACAGAATTGAACTTTCACCTTCCCTTGCAATACAGGAATGTGTGAGAGAGAGAACTTGAAAGCTAAGATGCAGATGCTGTTTTTTGCAGACAGCAACAGAGCAGGTGAGGGAGCTGAGAGGGAGGGAGAGAGATGAGAGCAAGATTGAGAGGGAAAGAGAATGAGAGCTATAGAAACAGAAGGAAGATGAAAGGGGGGTTTGAGGGGGAAGGAGAGAGAAAGGAGGAGGTAGAGTGAGAAGGTAACAGGGGAGAGGAAGAGGAAGGCAAAAAGACAAGTGAAGGAGAGAGAAAGAGGAACCAGAGTGAGACCCAGAAAGAAACACATTGAGAGAACGTAGCAAGTACCACCCCTACATCAACCAGTACAACAGTACAGGGAAATTAATGAAGACTGAATCAAGAAAGGCTAATTCAATAACGGAAGTATGTTTGCATGATCTGCAAGTGGGAAACCTAAAGACAGTAATGACAGCGCTGAAACAACGAAGCAACAATCTCAAAAAGAACAAAAATATTATAGGACCTACAGAAAAGGAAGTGCAATGGAACAAAACAGAGGAAGAATCCAGAAAGTCCTCAGTGAAGGGGATGTTCATGTCAGAAAAATTATTCTCATTTCTATACTTATGTTTAAAATATTCTAGTGTGTCAATCTCAACAATTCCTTTTATCATCTTCCTAATGACCTGAGAGTGCCTCTATATATATTATCAGAGTTTAATCTGGATATACAACAAGGTCTTAGAGATTCTCCCAAAACAAAATATTTCTTCGGAAATTTTGAGTTCTTATTAAAATATTTTAGTGATTCCCCTTTTCCAAACAATGTGAAGAATACCACCATTTTAGTAATCCAGTCTTTCTGGGTTAACTCCTTAAAGGTGTTTCTTGCTTTAGTTAAGTCCAAATGAGTAAACATGGTGTCTGCAGCTATTCTGTGGAAGAAAAATTTTAAAAAGAGATAAATAAATGAAAAAGTTCAATTCAAAATCAGATGAAAGGCTTTTTTCAAAACTTGCTTTCATTTCAATAAAATTTTATATTTTCCTCAACTTTACAATAACTGTAATAATTTGGCTGAACACAAATACAATTAAAAACATAGCTGATGCCCTAACTGGTTTACTCAGGGGTTAGAATGTCGGCTGAGGACAGAAGGGTCATAGGTTTAATTCTGGTCACAGGCACATTCCTGGGTTGCAGGTTTGATCCCCACCTGGTCGGGGCACATGCAGGAGGCAACCAATCCATGTGTCTCTTCCACATCGATGTTTCTTCTCTCTGTCTCTCCCCCTCCCTTCTACTCTCTGAAAAATAAATGGAAAAAATATCCTCAGGTGAGGACCCTCAGGTGGGTCTCACTCTGGTTCCTCTTACACACACACACACATATCTGACAACATATGATTTCTAAAACGTCAAAAATATCAAGGCTGAATTAACAATATATGCAGTCTAACTTTAACTCGGATATTGGATAATCAATAAATATTTATTTTCTATTAAAAAACAGCCACAGCCCTGGCCAGTCTGACTCAGTGGTTAGAGTGTTGGCCCCAGTCAAGGGCATGTACCTGGGTTGCAGGTTCCCCAGCCCCGGTAGGGGTGTGTGTGTGGAAGGCAACCAATTGATATGTCTCTCTCTCTCTCTCCCTCCTCCCTTTGTTACACTCTCTCTAGAAATCAATGGGAAAAATATCCTCAGGTGAGGATTTAAAAAAAAAGCCAAAAAAAGGCAATTTCCCTGAGTTACATGAAGGGAAAGTGGGGCCAAATAAAAGAGGGTTCAGAGCAGTAAACTGTTAGTATTCTAATAAACCATAATGATGTGTATTTAAGCCATGAGTAGTAAACTGAATATAGTCACTGTCTAAAAATAGACACATTCTTTGTAAAACAATACATATATTTGGTGTCTGAAAATAGAAAGATTCTTTCAAGTAAAAATTATACAAATATGTAGAAAAGGAAGTATAAAGTTTTTCCCTCATACTATTTAAAAATTCAAAGAAGTCTTAATATCTTCCAAGAAAGTTTTTAAATAAGTTAGGGTATGTCTTTCCCAAGGAATACCATGCAGCCATTAAAATGAGGTAATAAAAATATGAATATGGAAATTGAACAAAGTGAAAAACAGACAAATATATTAAGTGTAAAGTAATGTATAAAACAACATATAATCCCATTTTTTGGTAAAAGAATATATTTACATAGAAAAATATACACACTAACTGTTACTCTTAGATGGTGGATTATGGATGATTTTCATTTTTGTTGTTGTTGTGTATCTGTATTTTTGACATTTCCATGTCAATCATATATTTGCTTTTGTAAAAAAATAATTTCTAAAGAGATAAACACATAGCTAATTAAAGTACTTAAACCAGTACCTTATAATCTTTCAAAGTATTTTTAAAATTGAGATATAATTAACATATAACATTGTATTAGTTTCAGGTGTATGACATAATGACTCAGTATAGGTATATATTACAAAATGATCACCATAGTAAGTCTAGTTAACATCCATCATCACATAGTTACAATTTTTTTGTTATAATTTTTAAGATCTCTCTTAGCAACTTTCAAACATAACATACAGTATTAACTATAGGCACCATCTGTACACAGTACTTTTAACATAACGTTATAAATTTATTATATATATTACCTTTCCCTTACAAAACTTCCAGTCAGACATGCAGGAGATGAAAATATCTCTCTGATTTCCCTATATTAGGAATAAGACAGTGGTTAAAACAAATCATGAATATGCCTTCTTATAACATGAGACATGATAATTAAAACATCTTATAATTGTGCTTCAAACCTCTCCCTCTGTCTCCAATGTGTTTGCTATTGCCTTGGGTATCTAAAAGTTGATTCCATTTGCTAAATCTCAAATTTTCAGTGGCAAACATGGGCAATCAAAGGATATGTATTCAGAGAAGCCACGGGGAAAGCGGAAAAGGCTCAACATAGGGTCATTATTTTCTGTGACAAATTAAACACTCTCATCCCACCCAACTTTCCCCAGCCCTATTTATTTCTGTTCCACTGACGTGTAAACCAAAAAGTTACCAGAAATTGAGGTCAGGGGAGTATGTTCAGTTCCATCTTTGTAACTTTTTAAATAACTATTTTCTAGAATTAGAAAGCCATCCTAAAAAAAATCACTAAACAGACTTTTTGTAAATATAAGTATAGTCTTTATAGATGGTAGAAGTTGTTCAGCTGTGACGAGGAGGTCCACAAACAAGTGGCTCTAAGGTCAAATAGGGTTGGGAACCTGTGGACTGTATTTCCTGCTCAGATAGTCAAAATAGACTCAAACATGTCAAGGACCCAGATTAGTTCTGCAGTAAAGAAAGCTGCCTTCATGGAGACTCCATGCTAGTTGTGATGATTATTGTATGTTTCAATAATAGTACAATAAAACAATAATAATAATAATAATAATTGGCTAGGCAACGGTATCCAGATTTTTGGTCAAACACCAACCTAGATGTTGCTGTAAAAGTATTAGAATAGATTACACTTAAGTCAGCAGACTTTGAGTAAAGCAGATTATCTATATATATATGGCCCTAACGCCATAGAGCTGTCAAGACCAAAGGAGCAGTGGCTCTCTTGGTGAGTGGGGCGGGGTGTGAGCTACTAGCAGGGGAGAGCTATGAGCAGTGGAGGGCTACCAGTGGCGGAGGGGGCGGGGCAGCGAGCTACAAGTGGCGATGGGCGTGGTGGCCAGCTGAGGCAAGTGGAAGCAAGCTACTCGTGAACAATTTCGTACACACTGGGCCTCTAGTTCTCCATAATATGGATGAGCCTCATCCAATGAGTTGAAGGCCTTAAGAGAAAAGGGTTAATGCAAGGCCTTAAAAGAAAATTCTGCCCCCAGACTTCCTTGGGACTCAAGCTGCAATATCAACTCTACCTTGGGTCTCCCAGCTGGTCTGCCTTATGAATTTTGTACTTACCAGCTCTCTTAAACACATGAGCTCTGGGAATCTCTGGCTAGTGGACCCTTAGTAGACCACAAATCTTACAGTTCTGTACTGTGCAGATCTAATGGGGGGACACAGCTTAGGAGCCTTGCATAAGCAGACAGTCGGACCCATGGGTATACCTTTTTGTATTTTGCCACTGCTTAGTCCCCACATCAGCGATCCATCTCTTCACAGTCCCTTCATTCAATGTAGGAATTTTCCTTTTCAGATTAATGTATGAATTCTGTAAACACACAAAAAGCAAAGAAATATAATTATTTAGACACAACAGGAATAGGTAACCAACTTTTAGGCATATTTTAAGGATGGAGGGTAAAACAAACTTTTTAAATACAAATAATAGAGCTCTGGGCAATGATAAAGTGAGATTCTACCAAGGAGTAATCAATCATTTCCTGATGGCCAATTTCAATACAAATTTAGACCCAAAGTAAATTTCTCTGAGTGCCCTAACACTTAACACTTTACACAGGTGTGACTGGATCAAAAGGAACATCATCACACAGCTTTGAGGGGAAGGCAAATCCTAACAGGGCTGAGTGTAGAAGTAGGAGGAACTTAATTTGCCTTGGTGAAGTAGGGCAAGGACTATTCATAAGCCTATGAACCTCAGATCTGTTTTAGTACTGCTGGCAGAACTATGTTAGAAAGTCAACCACTGCCTCTCTAGGACACTGACCAAATGCCATTGGCAGGGGCCTCCCCAAAGATAAGAAGAATCTAAGGAAATCTCTCTGATTCGATATTCACGAGGGACAAATCTGATCTTTGTGGGTACATATTATGTAGTTTAAACAATAAAGCATCAATGTCTGACCAAATCCCCAAAAGTCAGCCTAGCCACCCGATGATTTTGTAATTCATCAAACTTGGATTCTGGAACTGTTTGTTTTGCTTAAAATACCAAGTTATAGAACATCTAGATGTGTATTTTTACCTCTTTTTTCATCCAGAGCAAAATGCTTTGATTTCCTCCAGCAATTATTATTAACTCATTTTCTGAGGTATGGCTTTCTGAAAGGGATATACAGAAAGTAAGAGTTTAAAATTTGGTACAAACATGCACACTCATTTTAATTTCAGATTCTTTTAAAACTTAGTCCTTTTAGCTTTCTGATAGACAAAGACTCAGCACATTTCCCACCCATAAAGCAGAAATATATATCTACTTCAGGTTAAAGTCTAGTTGGCAAACAGGTGACTCACAAGGTTGATATGTGGCATCAGTTTACTATACAGAATTAATGTCAATGCACATATATATATTTCACAGTCAAATATTTGATTAGTTAACTGTTCCTTGGTGTAATTTGGCTCCTATTAATAAAAACTATATGCTACAATTCAAGATTTGACCAATGACTATTGGCTGTGAGGAATGTAAATAAGTCTATGTAAGTGGTTAGAAGAATTCAAGTATATGACCTGCTTAAGGAAATAACCCTACTGTCCATTTTCCCAGGAGAACTGAGAGAATTCTGGTACTTTAGGTCACCACTAAACCTTCAGAACGGTAACTAAAGCGCTCCGAGGTACTTCTAGAGTAGAGGGTTTCAGAGCTCAGGCTCTGAGGCTGCACAGGACACAGTTCAAATCCAGCCGAACCACTTACTGGCCATGAGCCCTGGCTAACCCTTCACTCTCTGTGTCTGCACCTCCAGTAAAATGCGACTGAGAGTCCCATCTCCCTGAGCTGTTTAAGGATAGAGTAGATAACACAAACGAAGTGTTCAGCACAGTTACCTCGCATATGTCAGCTGCTCTCATTGTGAGGGTTTTACATGATTACTTAACCAGGTAAGAAAACCAAACACCGTGAAATAAGTAGGGCCCCTGCAAACTGGAATCAGAGGCTGCATATCCTTCTGAATCCATACAGTCTATTTATGTTGTATCATTTTAAGTCCACATTAATCTTAATCTGAAGAGGTAAGAGAAAACTAATGATTAACTTGACTTGATAAATTAGACTGGATATTTTAAATTGTTTGTAAGCAAACAATGAAACCAATGTTTAAAGAAACTCCCTTCAGTCATACATTTCTTTTCTTGCCACAATACAGTTTCTCGACAAAAGTATTTACACTAAATCCTGTGCTCCTATAGAATTTACCAAACTTGAGTTCTTCATTTGATGACAATTTCATGGGAAGTGGTATCAGCTGATTCTGTGTTCCACCGTTTCCCAGTTGTCCTTCTTCTCCAGAACCAAAAGAACCCCAAATCAACATAGGCAAGTGTGTGCCGCCTATTAAATAAAAACACATATATGGTCAGTTCTCAATTATCCACAATGAGAGTTCACAGCAGTGCAGGAAAACTGTCAAAATTAGGTCACTAGTGGGTGAACCACGGACCTAGACAATGATTCAATCAATCACAACTAAGCAACGAAACCACAATAACAACTTTGCACTAGGGTGAGCTTCCCCGGTTGGCAATACTCTACACGTGGTCATGTATCAGGCAGGGAGGAGCTAACACTGTCAAGAGGAGCAGATGCCTAAAGCCCCTCATTTGGACCCTCCTAGACGCTGTCCTATGCATCTCTTTCATTGGTTATAATCTGTGTCTTCCTCTTGTAATCAATGTATATAACATGAGTATAACAGCTTTCAGTGAGTTCTGTGAGGCTTTCCAGAGAATTCTTCTGTGTTAATAGGGGTACTGCCCTGGTTTGCATTACATCTCTAACATGACAACTCTTCTTGTAACACATGCTACACTAAGGAATGTGTGTTATGAAAAACCCAACGTGGTGATAGCTTCTTTGGATAATGCAGACATTAGTGAATGCAGAGAATTATGCCACCCCAATAATCTGGTCTACCTTCATAATATTCATTTATGTAATTCTACTCCAAGATCATA